CTGTCTGCGGTGGAACCGGGTCTCCCCATCCTGAGTCTTCTAGGCCTTTGGACTCTCAGACACTGGGACCCTGGGCTCTGGACTCTCACCCGAGTTTGTCGCTGAGCCTGCCAGAGTCCCATGGGGAGAGCTGCTGCTGCCCTGGTTCTTGCTGCTCTGGGCCTTCTCCTGCATCCCACTGTGTCCCCATGTTCCCGCGCAGGTCTCATGTGCGTGCCTTGGTCATGTCCTCAAGTGCCTCCCTGGAGCACCCGAGCTCTCACGTGTGCACATGTCTGCACACCCAGGTTCTCTGGGTGGGCTCACGTTCTGTCCCTCCCTCCGGGCACGTGAGACCTCATGTGGGTGTGGCCCGTGTGTGCAGTTCTCAGTCTGCTTACGGGGTGCCAAGCCTGCTACTGCGTGACGTCCCCCCATGCACACACTTTCTCGTGGATACCTCCACATGTGGGTGTCGTGGCCTCCCCATCCACAATGCTGCCACGATACGTGCCCCTCGCGTCCTCTCCTATGTGTGTCCTCTTACACGTGTGTCGGTGGTTCTCCTGTATAAATGTCATGCCCCCACCCATGACACCTGGGCACTACTAAGCGTGTGTTCCTGGTGAGCACACGCAGGACCATGTTCTCATGCACCCACTCCCTGCCCTGTGTCCTGCCTGTCTCGGGTGGCTGGGAAGGAGTGAGCTGCTCCGTCGTCACCAGAATGTACCGGAATGTATGGCTCGTGGGTTGTTAATGGGCCTTTTTCACTCAAAAGCTGCACAGTATGGAACATTAAACACTGTCATAGAAGCTGGTGGCCTTTTGCTTGCTGGTGTCCTGGCCTAGGGCCCCATTTGTCCCCACCCCCACCTCAGGCTGATACCACTCTTCAGGTCCTGGCTCGCCTGTGGGGAGGGTCAGATTTTGCTCCTGACTCATCCTGGAGCTGCCCACCGTCTGTGCTGGCATCACTTTACCTGCCCCCAAATGACCGAAGGAGAGCCTCACAGCTGGACCACTCGTTGCCCAGCCCTGCCTGCTGTTGATCACTGGAGTGGCCCCTGGAGTTGGGGACACCAGCATGGTCTTGGGCGTAAGGGGCCCAGCGGCGAGTCTGGGAGACCAGGAGCAACCCTTGAGTGCACAGTCAGTTCCACTAGAGAGAGGATAGCCACCTCAGATGTAGGAAATCTGGGCAGGCTTACTGGAGGAGGTGCCACTTGAGCTTGGGGGTTGGGAGTCCTTTCTTCAAGAAACATTTGTTGCACCTACAGCAAGCAGGTGACTGTCCTTGTTGTGGGCCACAGTGAAGAACTTGATAGGGAGGACCCTGCTCTGGGGAAGTAGAGGTGTACTAGGTGGAGGGAACCTTAAGAGTAGAGCTTCAGAAGCATAAAATGGGTCAAACTTGGCCACCTGGGAAGTGGGCGGGGGTGGGGCAAAAGACCTGGCAGGGGGTGGCTGTGGGACACCAGGCTGAGGTGGTTGGTTGTGGGCTGTGGGAGCCTCCGAGGGCATCAGAGCAGAGTTGTGGGCTCGCCTGGAGCTCTGTTTTGCATTAACTGGGGTCTGAGGCAGGCGGGGTGATAGGGCCTGAGTGGGGGACTGGGCAGTGGAGGGGAGGAGCAGCAGAAGACAACTCTGGGGTGGGCCAGGCCTGGGGGAGGTGAGTTCTTGGGTCTGGGCCTCCATGCTTGGCAGGCGGGTGGAAACAGGCCCTGAGCTTTGGGATGGCGCTGGGGATTTGAAGTGGTGGGTGTCGAGGGGAGCAGAAAGCCGAGAGGATGAGGGGTGGATGGCTGGTGGGGGGCTGCAGCCCTGTCTTTAGTGGGAGGAGGAAAAGGAGATGAGGAGGACTGGAGGGGGAAAAGTGACCAGGAGGGATGAAGGAGATCAGGAGGGGAGGTGGGCGTCGCCTGGGTGGAGGGGGCCCAGGCTGCACCAGACCACCTGTCTGGACCCTGGGCCCTCACTAGTGGAGTGGAGGCACCTGGTGCTGTGTGTGGAGATGGTGGGGGTTGGAATGGGGGGGCCGGCTGTGGACAGGGTAAGGCTGGGTGAGTGTGGCTGGGGTACAGCCATTGGTCAAAAAAACCTCAGCACTTTTTACTACCCCAGGAGAGGGGGTGCTCATAACAAGGTGCAGATTGGGTGAAGCAGGGGAAATGGAGGGGCCTTGACCTAGAGCTTGAGGCCCTCAACCATCGCCAGTGTGGGATGGGGCTGGGGTGTTAGACTCTGAGTGACAAGGGTGCTTCCCCTGGAGGAAGGGCAGCCCCCATGCCCAGGAGTGTAGACCTCACCCCCACCCCATCTGTCACTCCAGCCACATTGTCTCCTCTTCAGTTGGTGACCCTCTGAAGCTGCCCTTAGCGTTTTTTTTTTTTTTTAAGATGTTGGTGTTTATTTTGTTGTTGTTGGGAATATACACAGCGGAACAGACACCAATACAACAGTTTCTACATGTACAATTCAGTGACAGTGATTACATTCTTTGAGTTGTACAGTCATTCTCATCTCCTTTTCTGAGTTGTTCCTCCTCCATTAACATAAACTCACTGCCCCCTAAGATTTCTATCTAACCTTTCGAGTTGTCATTGTCAATTTGTTCCCATATAGGTAGTTTTTAAAAAGAACATAATGCTCAAGGCAGACATTCTGCATTAATCTAAACTATTGTTTGGTTTTAAGAAGACTTGAGAGGATACTTTTGGTTTAAGGTTTAAAGATTATCTCAGGGCAGTAGTTTCAGGGGTTCATCCAGCCTCCATGGCTCCAGAAAATCTGGAATCCATGAGAATTTGAATTCTGTTGTGAATTTTCCCCCTTTTGATCAGTATTCTATAGCATCTTGGATCAAAATGTTTGGTAGTGGTACCCAGGCACCATCTAGTTCTGGTCTCATGGCAAAGGAGGCAGTTGTTCATGGAGGCAGTTAAGCTACATATTCCATATCCTCCTCCTCCTCCTATTCCTGACTCTCTTTCTTCTTCTGTTGCTCCAGGTGAATAGAGACCAATTGTGCCTTGGTTAGCCTGTCCTTAGCTTTTCTATCACCATGCCTTTGCTCACACTGATCACCCACTTTTCCCACATAAATCTTACTTGTCCTTTGAAGGCTGGCTCAGACACCACCTCCAGGAAGCCTACCTGGTCCTCCCAGCACTTGGAACTTCTCTTGGGCGATGCCACATACTGCCTTGTGGCAGGATGGTAGGTCTGTATGGCTGTCTCTGTGGGTGGCCTTGGGTTCCCTGGGCCTGGGAACTAGTGATGCTCATTTAGGAAAACAAGCCTCCATGTGCCTGGCCCATTGCCTAGTCTGTGGACATATGAGTTGGGGTGAAGATGCTGGAGCCCAGTGGCCCAGCCACCTTCGCCCAGGCCCCCTGTTAGATGTCCACCTTCCCATGGAGTGAAGAAACCCACTAGCCCCATAATCCTCAACAAGTCCTATTTTTGTCCTGTTACAGAGATGATAAAAGCAGAGTTCAGAGAGGAGAAGTAACTTATCCAGAGTGACACAGCCAGTGAGTGGCCCAGTCAGGAACTGAACCTTGCTCTGTGTGGCACAAAGCCTGGGATTGTCCCTTGGTGATGTCCTGAGAAGATGGGCTGTGAAGGGGCCTGGCATGTGGCTGGTCCATAGTAGGAGGGTGATTGGAGAGGCTTGCTTTTCCTTTCCTCTCCCCCCACAGTCCTGATACAGGGCTGGCCCACAGATGGCCCAGTTTAATTCACCAGCCAGTTAGTATTTTCATTCATCTGATTGACAGATACTTATTGAGCTTCTATTGTGTGTCAGGCACTGGGAATTGGTGGTCCAAAAAAAAAAAATCTCTGTCTTGACCTTTTCATGAGAAAGACAATTAGTAAAATATACAGCAGAGAAGGGGGCCCAGGAGGGGCAGGGCTGGAAGGCTGGGAGCAAGGGGGAGAAGGGTTTACAATCTAAAGTGGCCAGGGAAGGCTTCATGGAGGAGGTGACATGTATGTAAAGACCTTAAGGAGGTGAAGTAGTGAGATGAGTCAGTTTTGGGGGAAAGGGCGCCCCAGGTGGTGGGAGCAGCAAGTGCAAAGGGCCTGAGGTGGGCATGTGCTGGAAACAGCCAGGAGACCAGGGGCTCTGGAGTGGAGGGAGCCAGGGGAGGGTAGTGGGAGATGGGGCTGGGGGGTCACAGGGGCCTTTTAGACTGGTGTACAATCTTTGGTGTTTGTTCTGAGGGAGATGGGAGACAGTGCAAGGTTTGAGCAGAGGAGGATGTGACTGACCTTGTGTAAAAGGAGATGGAGATGGTGTCTGAGGAAGGCCTGTCCCTGCCGCCTGGACTGGCTGGGGAGAGAGGCAGCAATAGAGACTGCCAAAGGAGATGGGACATGGGGCAGTCACAGCTGGACAAGTGCCCTCGGGGGGCTTCCTGTGGCCCAGATGAGGGATCAGACATCTGGCTTTAACTGTGCCATGTCACTGAGTTGCTGGATCATCTTAGCCCTGTGCCTCATGTCCTTAGCTGTAGACTGGGAACAATAATCCCAGTGCTGTTAAGACCAGAGCAACTACTGTGGGAGCCACTGAGGTTGGGTGGACATCATGGAAGGCTTCCTGGAAGAGGGAACACATGCCATGTCTTAAAGTCCAAATAGAATTCAGCCTGGTGGAGGGGCCGTATGTGAGCATGGCAGAGGATGGGGAAGAGCTTTCAGGAGGAAGAACATCGTGAACAAAAGCCAGAGGCTGGGTAGAGCAGGACACTACAATAATTGAGCCAAGCTGACAGGTCCCTGGGGAGTGGGAAGGCTGGAAGGCCTCTCCCTTCCATCCCCGCATAGAAGGTTTGTTGTCACCCCAACCCCCACTGCAGCAGCTGGCAGGGCTGGGGCTGTCCCTTCAGCCGGTGCCTCTTTTTGAGTCACCTCTGGGGCTCCCTGGGCTGGCCCCGCCCCTTGGGCTGCGCTGGGGACAGGGGCGGGGCTGGGCGGCCCCAGAGCCGGCAGCGGAGGCCAAGGGAGCAGGTGGAGGCTGGCGGCTGGAGGGCTGCATGGCTCAGCCTTGGGGTTCGGAACACCAGCCCCCTGGCTGCCCCTCCCAGCCTGCCCCTGATGCCGGCCAGTCTTTGGCTTCTGCCGGGGCCCCCACCTGAGCAGCCACCTTCCCTGGCCGTTTGGAATTTCGGGGCTGATGCAGCGCCGGCTCCTCCGGGGCCTGGCTGGAGCCCTCCTCACCCTCCTGTGCATGGGGCTTCTGTCCCTGAGGTACCACTCCGGCCTGTTCCCCCAGGGGGTGCGGGTGACCCCCAAGCCTAGCCCGCCCAGCCCTGGGCCCCCTGAGCTGCAGATGCATGACATCTTCATCGCCATCAAGACCACCCGGGCCTTCCACCACTCGCGCCTGGAGCTGCTGCTTGACACGTGGGTCTCCAGGACCAGGGAGCAGGTGACAAGCAGGCAACTGGAACCCTGGGAGTGACCCTTGGCCTGAGGGGCGCATGGAGACCTTTCCCTGGGCTGGGGTCCCTGGTGCCCTTGGCCACCTGCCCCATCTGGGCACATCTTCCCACTCCTCCTCCAGCCTCTGGCCCTGGCTTGGGGGCTGCCTGCAGCCCTGACCGTACCCTTGCTGACCCTGACGCCAGGTGCTTCTCAGGCCACAACTCCGTCTCTTTCACAGGCCAGACTAGGCCCCAACCCTGGGTCCCTCTTGGGGGTTCCCTCTATTCCCACTGCTGTCCAGCCTGGCCCAGTCTGGCACTGGGGGCAGCAGTGGATGCTGCGCAGCTGGGCCCAGGCTGCCGAGGAGTCCTGACCCTGACCTGGCTGGGGAGCCCCTAGTCCTTTCAGGCATCCTGACAGCCCTGCCCCCATGCCTCTGCTGCCCAGGCTGTGTCAGGGGAGCTGACATCTTACCTCCTGTGCTCACTTGCTGTGGGGCTGTTTCTGAGGGAGGAGAGGAGGGTGTGTGTGCCGTGCTAGTGGTAACTGAGGCAGTGGTGGGCACGAGGTGGGGCTGGAGGTCTGGCAAGTGGATTGTGTGTGTGTGTGTGTGTGTGTGTGGGTGAGTGTGTGTGTGTGAGAGCCTGTGTGTGTATGACTATGTGTGTGTATGTGTGTATGTGTGTGTGCTCATGTGCATGGAGCCAAAGTGTCAATGTTAGATGTGCTATGACAAGAAGCATGTGGGTGACAGGGAGCATGTGGCTTATGCCTTTCAGGGGAGGCAGCTTTGACAAGCTGAGTCCCCTCCAGCCCTCCCTCTCCCCACACCCACTGCCTTCCTTAAGCAAAGTCAGCGACTTGAGGGCATTGGGGGCCATCTCTAGGGGAGGTGGAGGGGTGGATTTACATACCCACATACACCTTTCCCCACTCAGGCAGCTGGCTCAGTGAGAGAAAGTGACCGAGCTTTCCGAGGGGGCTGGCTGCTTCTGGGAGACTAAGGAGAGAGGGAGGAGGTGCCTAGAAGCGGTCAGGGCCCCCTGGGGAAGGGGCACCGCACCCAGGTTTCTTGGCACCCCCTTGCACCCTGGATTAATCTTTTCCCGGTAGTGGCCTCCAGCACCCGGGGCTCTTTCCTGGGGCCCCACAGAGCTTTTCAAGCCAGGGAAGTTCTGGTTCCGCCCACGGAAGCTGCTGAGCCTGGCCCTTCCCGCAGACCTTCCTGTTTATGGCGCTGAGACTGTGTGTACCCGGGAGCATGGCCTCATGTGGTCCAAGGCCCTTTCCTGTCTGGTCTGCCCTGGCCCCAGATGAGGAAACTGAGGCCAGTGAGGAGGACACGCTCTCCAGCGTCCCCCAGAAGGCCCGAGGGGGACCAGGCCCCCACCTGCTGGGGCTCTTCCTTCTCTGCTAGGGCCTGGGAGCCCAGAGCCGCCTGGGTGACTGGGCTACAGGGGAGGGTCCCTGGGCCCCCAGCCTGGGCAGCTGTGCCGGCAGGACTAGGCCTACAGGGGAGAGGCAAGCCCCGAGCCCCTTCTATGCCACTCCCTCAGCACCCATTCAGGCCCACCTGATCGAGGCTCCCTCTGCCCCATCTTCCCCTGCCCACCTGGCAGGGTATATGAAGTAGGGTGTAGGGCCTTGGTTAGGACTCCATCCTGGTCCCTCACCCCCTGTGCCATTCAGATGCTGCCAGTCAGCCAGGGGGGTACCAGCCAGCTACTTGGCATCTGTTGTTGCGTGCTGTCTAGTCAATTCTGACTCATAGCAACTCTATATGACAGGGTAGAACTGCCCCACAGGATTTTCCAGACTGTAGTAATCTTTATGGGGAGGAGAATGACAGGGCTTTCTCCCTTGGAGCCGCTGGTGGATTAGAACTGCCGACCTTTCGGTTAGCAGCTGAGTGCTTAACCACCGTGCCACCTGGGCTCCTACTAGGGGGCTGCATATCAAACGCATCACTCTCATCTCCCCAACAACCCCAAGTGTTAGGTATTGCTAATCTCATTTTACAGGCAAGGAAACAGGCTTGGAAAGCTTAAACAGAAGGAGGAGATGAATCTAGTCATTGGATAGAGCACAAGGGGCAGATTCTAGAAACCTTGTTCTTTAAGGCGTATTTGAAAGAAGAGAGGATGCGCAGATGGAAGAAGAGATGAGGGGACAGAGACACCCACACTCACCACCCTGTCTGGGCCCCCTTTGTCTCTCACCCTTTGGCTCTTTACTCTCTGTGACATCAGTTGAGGCCCTCGGTTTCCCTGTCTGCCACACAGGACAGGAGGGTCTCGGGCAGCTCTCAGATCTGCCATCAGAGCGGGCCTGAGCTGGTTAACTCCTGCGCTGGCGCCCACCCCAGCTTGTTAAGGGTGGCAATGGCAGGTGGGCCTTTGTGGCAGCGGGCTGGGACTCGTGTGTGGCTTTTGTCTCCAGATGAGGGGGTGGGCTGGGAGGCGTGTTTTCTGCTCGAGGGGGGTGGGCGGCAGCCCCATAGTTCCCCTTCTCTGCAGCAGATGGTCCTTGACTAACCCCTCCCCTGCCCCCAGCAGGCTGTCTGCCCCTTTGTTTTCCCGCTGCCTCTGAGGGTTTAACCATTTTCAGGGCCCCTCCTTAAAACAAACGCAGCCCTGGGCTCTGCGCTGCACCCACCTCAGGGTTTCCAGGGATGGAAACCACCAGCCTCAGGCCCCCCTCTGCCCTCCGTCTCTACACTGCCTCCCCCCACACTACCTCCCACTTATTCTGTCTACTTAGTCCTTCACTGACAAGCATTCTCTGGCCCTCCTGGCCCATACCCTGAACTTGAGAGGGTTCCACTGTTTGGAGGCAAAAGTTTGCCAGGGAGCTGGGCAAGAAAGGCCTGACTTAAGTTTTACAGGATCCCTCGGGAGCTGTGTTGAAAACAGACTTGCAGTAGGGGGCAGGACAGAAGCAGGGACACCAGGCAGGAGGTGATAATGGTGGGTTGGACCATGGGGTGTCTGTGGAAGTGGTGAGAAGAGGGGTCACCCTGGATAATCGGAAGGTTGGGGTGACAGAATTTGCTGATGGAGTGGTGGGGGTGAGAGGGAGGTGTCATGGGCGGGTGACTTCAGTATTAGGGGATGCTGGAGCTGCCACCTGCCGAGATGGGTAAGACCAGGGAGGGGAGGCCAGGGCGAGTGCCTGCGCAGTGGGATTTGAGAGCCTGGAGCTTTGTGGTGAGGCCGAGGCTGGAGGTGTCAATGTGGGAGGCTCCGGCTTGGTGGTGGTGCTTAAAGCTGGGAGACAGGATGGCATCACCAAGGGATGGGGCGAGATGGAGAGGAAGACAGGGCCTGGGCTCCGGCCCACCAATATTTTCCCCATGGAAATCCAGGGACCCCAGTGTTAGCTAAATCTGACACTGGGAGACAGACCTGAGGGAGAGGGACTCAATAGATGGACATAGCCAGGCCTCCCAGAGGGGTGCCAGGTGCCAGAATAGGAGGCAAATCAGACCAGGCCTGTGCCCTCCAGGATGTCACCGGCTGGTTGAGAGACCAAGAGATAAATTTCCATACCTGAGTAGTTGCTGTTCATAGGAAGAACAAGAAACTGGGGAGCACATGGGAGGGGCCCCTAAGGCAGCTGAGGAGTATCAGGGAAGGCTTTCTGGAGGAAGTGATGCCTAAGCTGGGAGTTCGAAGATAGGAGGTAGTGTTCTAGGAAGAAGGTGCAGTATGTGCAAAGGCCCCCGGGGAGAGGGGAAGGAAGAGTGTGTGGGGTGTTTGGGGAACTGAAAGACCTTCCAGCTAAGGGAAGCCTCAGCCACGGGTGGGGCAGGAAATGATAAGCTGAGGCTGAGCAGGCAGCAGGGGCCACCATGATGGCTCTTACTGGCTGCACTTAGGAGGCTGGCCTTTATCCCAAAGGCAGTAGGATGATGGCGGTAGGATGGCAGTAGGAATAACTGTATTCCACGGTTAGCAGGATGGTGGTGAATGTGGGTGTTACATGACTCTGATCCTGACAGGAAAGCAGGCCTGAGGGAATAAGGCAGGGTTTTGCAATAACCTAGCAAGAGAGAATAATGGCTTGGAAGAAAGCCTATGGCCATTTTTTTTTTCTTTTCTTTTTTTATTGTTGAGAACATATACAGCAGAACATAACCAGTTCAACAATTTTTACATGTATAACTCAGTGACATTTATTAAATTTTTCAAGTTGTACAACCATTCTCACCCTCCTTTTCCTAATTGTTCCTCCCCACTAACATAAACTCACTGCCTCCAAGCTTCATATCCAACCTTCTGAGTTGGTGTTGTCAATCTAATCCCACATAGATAGTTCTTTAAAAGAGCACAATGCCCAAGGCTAACATTATTTACTAATTAAGCTAAAGTATTGTTTGGTTTAAAGAAAACTTCAGAGGACATTTTTGGTTTAAGGTTTGGAGAGTTTCTCAGGGCAGTAGTTTCTGGGGTTCACCCAACCTCAATGGCTCCAGAAAGCCTAGATTCCATGAGAGTTTGAAATTCTGTTCCACATTCCCCCCCACCCTCAGCTTTGATCAAGATTCTTCTATAGGTTCTTTGATCAAGATTTTCAGTAATGGTAGCCTGGCACCATCCAGTTCCTCTGGTCTCAAGGCAAGGGAGGCAGTTTTCATGCAGGCAATTAGCCACACATTCCATTTTGTCCTATGCCTAACTCTCCTTCTTCCTCTTTTGCTCCAGGTGCATAGAGACTAGTTGTACCTTGAATGGCTGCTTGCAAGCTTTTAAGACCCTAGCTACTCTGCAATGAACTATGAAGTAGAACAGAAGCACTAAAAATGATATGAGGCCAATTAACTGAGTTATCCTGTGAAACCATGACCCTGCACTTCGAAACCAAGGAACCAAATCCCTTGAGGTGTCTGGTTGTACGTCAGGTGGCCAGGGGTTTTGGGGGAGACAAGCCTGCTTGCCTCTCATCTTTCCCTATATCCAGCCCTGGCTTCTGGCCTCCTGTGCCTCAGTTTCCCCTGATACAAGGAGCTGAGCCAGGCTTCACTACCCAGCTCTTCCTTGTTTATCACAGACACTGTCTCGTTTACCCCAAAGCCACCTTGACCCCCTGTTTTATAGGTTAATAAACTGCGACTCAAGACGGGGCTGTTCTGATCTGAAGGGTTGATTCCTGGAAAGGAGGGAGAGGTCTGTGGGTGAGCAGAGGGGGGCATTGCAGCTGGAGGCTCTGAGCTTGGAGGGAGGACAGGGCTAGTTCATGGGTGTGGCCTGAGGAGATGAGGGAGCCGGGGGGCTTTAAACAGGCTGGAGGCCTTACCTTTGGTCCTTACTTGGATGGGGTTTAAAATTGTCCTTGTCTAAGGTCCAAGGGCAGCCCTTGATGTGCTCGGTGGACGAGAGGATCTGTGTGGGCACCCAGAGGCTCCACGCATGCTAGGCTGGGTGCGGAATGGGTGTTAGTCCAGTCCCGGGCCTGGCACACCTCTGTCTCTCTGTTTCTCTTCTCCTGTCTCTCTCCCCAGCTCCCCCTCAACCATTAGACCGTCATTTCTGAGGGGTAGAGTTGCCCAAAGGGTGGTCATTTCCACACTACTGACATGATTTTTGCTGTTTCTATATGCCTCTTGTCCTATGTTACTGTCACATAACAACAGGCCGATCCAGGTTAGAGCAGGGGCTTTGGTGCCGGATGGCCTGGATTTGAATCCCCCAGCTCTGCCACTTACTAGCTGTGTGACCTTAAGGCCGCCTCTCTGGATCTCCGTTTTCTCAGCTGTAAAATGAGGATACTAAAATCTAGAACACGTAAAAAGCACTTAACCACCAAGCCTGGCACACGATAAGACTCATTCCATAGTTGCTATTATTTTTCTTCGAAGCAACTTATTTGCTTAATTTTAAAGAGAAACATTACGTCATACTGTGATTTCTCTAATGCTCAATGACGTAAATATATAACTTGAATTTAAAAACACTATTGTGTGTGACCAACCTAAAACTGTTTCAAGTGCTGGAAGTCTCATATGATCACTCTGTTAGCTTCCTGGGGCTGCCGTAACAAATTACCCTTCCCCTGCCTATGTCTAATCTACGAGCAGTGTCGTTACTAGGCTTGGTGTCACCCAGTGCGGTAACTCATTGTGCTATCCGCTCCACCCCACCAGGGACCTCCTCACATACCAGACCATACAGAATCCTCAGTAATTTTTTTTTGTACTAATCAGGGCCAGATTAAGGCATGTGAGGGCCCTAAACACTGCTAATCTGTGGTGCTCCCTCCTGTGTTTACTCACGCATTTGAACAGGATGTGTGTTAGATACATACATGGATATATGTGCATGCGTGTGTGTGTTTTAGCTATCCATGCTGTAACTTCTTTTTAAATGCGACTGTAATATTACTTATTAGTGGAAACTCTGGTGGCTCAGTGGTTCAGAGCTACCGCTGCTAACCAAAAGGTCGACAGTTCGAATCCGTCAGGCGCTCCTTGGAAACTCTATGGGACAGTTCTACTCTGTCCTATAGGGTCGCTATGAGTTGGAATTGACTTGACGGTAACAGGTTATAATATTAGTGATTGAATGCAAAAGTGGTATATGCCACTTTAGAAGAATGAGATGAACTGGATTGGAGAATTTTTAGTGGATGTGGGAGATGCTAGGATTTCTACTGTATACCACATTTTCTACGAAAAGATTATTCCACATGTTCTACAACAAAGAAAATGAGTCAGTGAACTTAGTTGTTTCAACAGTCAATATAAAATTCTGTTGATCTCCCACAACAAAAAATTGACTTTCACCAATTCTGCCCTTAACTGCACATACCTCAGTTTTGATGCTTGTTTTCTAATAAATGCTATAATTATAAATGAACAAATTTAAAGATGTCATAAAAGAAAATGTAAAGATCAGAAAACAAATATTACAACAAGTTACTATATTTTGTTTTTAGATTGATCTTTCATCTCTAACATGTTATAATTAGACACATTTCTTTCTCTTCTCTTAAAAATTCTTCAATGATTTCATCACAGTTTAGCTGCTGAACAATATCTACTTCCATACATAATAAGGATAATGGATCAAATCTTTCCTAAATCATTTTTGTATGCTGAGGGTTTTTGAGTCTCTTTAGGGATGAAAATGAGCGTTCTGTTGTGTGGTTCATGATCATTAAAGTTAGGAATATGCATAAAGCAGTTTCAACATTGGGAAATACACATTGTGTTTCATCTTCTGTTGTGAAATCATACAAGCCTACATTAGTAAAATTTGTCTTTCCTAAATCCGTAAACTTAGTTTTCATGTAAGAATGAAATTGTCACGTCTCCGTGAAGGTTTGTATTTAAGTCATTGGGATAAGCCTGCACTAATTTCTTGGATACTTTCATGCATTCTTCATCGGGTACATCTGTATGGTTTAAGAGGAAAATCTATCTGAAAGAACTTCGTACACTTTTGCCCTTCTTTTCATGCAAGAGTCAAGTGTGTCAATGATGGTATAGGATGTGGTTATGGGAAATTGGTATCTGGCACTCAGTGATACTTCTGGAGCACTTCAGTCATTTACTTGTTTCTTTCTAATGCTTCTTTGACAGGGAACTGCTTGATAATCAGTATTTGTTTTGTTGTGTTTTCAAAATTTTCTTTTAAATTATGTAAATACCCTGTTAATGACGCGTAGAGATGTGTGCATGTCTTCAAATTTACTTCTGAATCTTGGAGAGCTTGACTCGTCCGATGAAAATGCTGCAATATATTATTCCACATAACCAACATAAACACATACTCTAGTGTTTGGATTTTGTTGGTGATGTTTGCAGCTTCTCTTTTGGTATCTCCTTGTGCGTCTGGCCTTCAGCAATATTTTCTACAGCATCTAGAATCAGTGTGTACGATTCCAGGATTGCACTCGTTCCTACTTCAGGCATTTCCCAGCGTGTATTAGAAAGACATTTTAATACTCGATCGTTGCCTAAATATGTCTTAAGAATTATTCATTGGCGAGTAGAGGCAGCAAAAAATGTGTCGAGTAACTGAACAGTAGAAAAAAAATCAACTGCTTCCAGATGACAATCTACTGTGCTACATCCTACGAGATTAAGTGACTGTGTAGCACATGGGATAAAAAAGGCATATTCATTACATTCGAAAATTTTCTGTTGCATGCCTTTATAACGCCCCAACATATCGGCAGCATTGACGTAGGACTGGCCCTGCATGGTTCAGAGTGTGTGCACGTGTGTGTGTTGTGAGGAAGGGATAGAAGAGGGTGTGATTCTGCCAAGGGTGTGTGAATACGGCTTGGCCCTGTGGTGCAGGTCTGTGAAGGGATGGGTGTGTGTGGGACAGACCAGCTGGTGTAGACCATGGCGATGTGTGTCTACACAAGCTGGGGTGTGTGCGTGCTGTATGGGAGAGGATAGCTGAGGAGATCATGGGGTCCTAAAAGAGGGTGTGACTGTGAGAGGGATGTGTGTCCGTCACTGAAAAGAGGATAGAAGTCTGCTGTGTGTGTCCACCTGGACAGGCAGTTCTTCAGGGACTTGGCTACGGGGGCTGTGCGCTGGCTCTGGGGCTGCCCCTGGCAGACCTGAGTCCCGACACCTCGGTTTCCTCCCCAGACATTTGTCTTCACTGACAGCTCGGATGAAGGCCTCCAGGAGAGACTGGGTAACTAACTGCCTGGCCTGGGTTGGGTGGCTGTGCCCTGGCCTGGGGATTCCTAGGAACGGGACTATAGCCTTGGCATGTGGGGATTCCCCTTTGCCAAGCAGGGAGGCAGGCTTCTTCTCTGGAAACAGTGTGAGTGTGGGGTGGGGCTGTGCTGGACAAGGCCCAGTCTTCTATTGAATAACTCTGTGGTCCTAAGCATGGCAGCTTTCCCTGGGCCTCAGTTTCCCCACCTGTAAAACGGCCAGGCCCTGCTCTGCATCTTCATGGTGTGCAGGGCAGTGGGGAGGAGCCTGGCAGGGGCCCCTGACCCCTCCTCACTTCTCCAGGACGCCATCTTGTGGTCACCAACTGCTCTGCGGAGCACAGCCATCCAGCCCTGTCCTGCAAGATGGCTGCTGAGTTCGACGCCTTCTTGGCCAGTGGGCTGAGGTCAGTGCTCTTGGGTCTCTGGGGACAGGAGTGGCCTTTGCCTCAGGCTAGCTCCTGAATGGGGTGTCTTGTCAAAAAGTGAAGTGGTCTAGGCCCAGGGAGTATAATTATGTAGGGGCTGACTCCTGGGGGCTGACTTTCTCCACCCACCCGCCCACCTGGCAGGCAGTGCTCAGTGAGCTGGACAGTTCAGCTGGGTTCAAATCCAGCCACTCACGGGCTGTGTGACCTTGGGCTAATGTCTTAACCTCTCTGAGTCTTGGTCCTCACCTGTTATGTGGGCACACCTTCTTAACGAGGTTACACGAGATACTGCTTGGTACAACACAGGTACCTTCGATGTCAGCCACTCTCCCTCCCTCTCCTCTCCCCACCTCCTCCCTGAGTGTTAGCCCTGTGGGCGGGGGACAGGTTGGGGGGCCCTTCGGCCCCAGGAACCCTCCTAGGCTCATCGTCCCCCCTTCCATTTCTGCAGGTGGTTCTGCCACGTGGATGACGACAACTATGTGAACCCTCGGGCGCTGCTGCAGCTGCTGGCCACCTTTGCACCAGCCCGCGACGTCTATGTGGGTAGGCCCAGCCTGAACCGGCCTATCCATGCCTCTGAGCCTCAGCCCCGCAACCACACGGTCAGTCCCTCTCTTCTTTCTTTGCCCATTTGCTGCTGTGTCTGGGTGAGGCCAGTGCCGGGGGCTGGGCGGGAGTGGAGAGAGCCAGGTTCTGGGCTTCAGATCGGGCCCCATCCCTTTCTAACCTGTGTCTTTGGGCCAGTGGCTTCGCCTCTTTGAGCCTCATTCTCCTCGTCTGTGAAATGGGGAGCTTGCGATCATACAGGTAAGGCACAGAGACGGCACACAGGAGGGCCTTCGTCACTGGGGAGCAGGAGCGTGCCCTAGTCATACAGTGAGCATGAGGCTGAGCTGGACTTCCTGACCCCACGGCAGGGCCCCTCTACACCTGATCTCATCATGTGGCTGTACACAAACCCATTGCCGTTGGGCGCTTAACCACTGTGGCTGTACAGGTTGTTAAAATGCTAGAATCCTTCTGGCCAGGTGGTAGATTCCCACTGCCCTGAGCCCCTGGTGCATCGCTCACCTGGGTGCCCCCCTCCACTAACAAAAGAGTCAACAGCTGGCACAACAGATACTCCCCACCCAGGTCCAGCTCCAGGCTTGGATGGACACTAATTAGGGTTGCCAGATTTAGAAGACAAACAAACCGTCAGGATACTCCGTTCAATTTGACTTTCAGATAAACAACAAATATTTTTTAGTATAAGTAAGCCCCAAATAGGGTTGCTACGAGTCGGAATCGACTGGAAGGCAATGAGTTATTTTGGGTTTATGCCCTAAATGTGCATGGTTCTCCTCTGCCCCCAGGATCCACCAGGCTGCAGGCATTGGGTGGCCCAGGCCCCTAGGACTCCGCTGGCCCTAGGGAAAAGGCAGGTCAGACGGTCTCCTCTCCAGAGGCAATGCCTAGAGTCTAGAGCCCTCTGTGGGGTTCCCCCTCCCTCCCCAGGCCACCATCTGCTCCACTTGGGAAACCAGGAGCTGAAAACACAAAGCCTTAGTTTTCAGAAGTGAAGCAGCTGTTGATCCCTAATTAATGTTCTCCTGGGCCGTGGGACACTGCCTGGTTGTGTGTGAGCTGCTTCCAGTGAGCGGGGGTCTCCCAGGCTCCCACACGCCCTCACCCTTGGCCTTCACCTCTGTTTGAGCAGTTTGCCCTACAGGTTGGGAACACCACTCTGGAGCCAGCCTCCCTGGGTTCAGCCTCTGGGTTCACATCTGGCCCTGCCACCTTCTGGCTTCCTGAGCATGAGCAAAGTCACCTAACCTCCCTGGCCTCAGTTTCCTCATATGTTAAACGAGGGTGCTAACAGTCCCTACCGCAGAAGGTGACTGTGAGCATCGAGGAAATAATTAAATGAAGTAATCTCCCAGGTACTTGGAGCAGGAGGTGGCACCATGACACTAGTAGTGTTAGCGATCAGTATGTGACTCAGCTCCGTGTGCATTTCTGAGCAGACTTTCCTGTGCAGACTCAGTGCCCTGCTGGGCACACCCAGGCCCATCCCTACAACCTGCCCCAATGCCCTTCTTGGCACATACACCCTCCGTGGGATCCCAGGACACTCTCCCCTGAAGTGCGGCAGAACCCCAACGTGTCCGGGCTGGTTTAGACTCTGGGGTCCCCTGAGGTGGAACAGTAAGTACTTCACTTCTCTGAGCCTTGGTCACCTTTTCTGCCAAGTGGGGATCAAGAGGCCTGGTGGGTTACAGTAGTGATGGGTAGAACCCTGTTGGGCACAGGGCATGGAGGTGTTAAATGAGAGAAGGCAGGCCCAGCCTTTAGCACAGGCGTGGCAGAGTCGGTGCTCAGGATTAGGCACTTGTACCCCTACTGTTGCTGTTGTTACTACAACTATCTGGGAGCCAAAACCACTCACTAAACAAGCATTTATTTGGTACCTTCTATGCTTCAGGTCCTCAAGTAACCCCCTAGTTCTGCCTTATTGAGTCTTGTCCTTTGTTTAAAAGGGCAGCATTTCCAGAAGAGAGTTAACAGAGGTCTGTAGGAGGGGGACACCTCCAGGCCAGGGGAACCATCAGATCTCAGAACTAGAGTCAATGTTTGTGCTCCAGAAGACAAATCTGAGGCTCAGAGGTGGGAAGTGACTTTCTCAAGGTTACACAGCTGTACAGCGGCGGTGGAGGAGGGCTGCCTGGCGTGCTGCCCAGGGCTTCTCTCACTGTTGCATCATGGGAGATAACTCAGTACCAACTGTATACTTGGGAGAAGATAACCGTAGGGAACTTGTTAGATCAAGAGATGGTACAACTGAAAAGGGTAAAACATTTCCCGAAAGCCTTAGAGAGATTCATGGTGAATTCATGGGTCCTCACAGAATGGGAGGTAGGGGAAGAGGTCTTGGGCTGTGGTGATGCTGGGCGGACCCAAAAGAGATGCTATAGGTTCATGTGATTGAGATGTCAAGGGGTTCTTTGCCTTCACAGACTCACAGAACTGCCCCCCTCTCTCTCTTTACTCCACGAGTGGCATCGCCCTCTCCTTTTCCAGAAGAGCTTTCTTATTCCCAGGAATTAGGGGTAGCAGGGGCTGATGTAGGTGACGTCAGGACTAAAGCTGCTGTCATCTCTTCCCCAGAGTAGGCATATAGATCTCAGGGAAGGGCTCTGATTGGTTGGCCTGAGTCATGTGTCCATCCCTGAGCCAATCACTGGGATGGGGGTGGGGATTTATGATGAGCCACTGCTGGGGCACCTGACCACCCCTGTGGCCTTGGGGAGTGGGCACTGTGTTTGGCAGCCCCTCTGGAACTCCAGGGAGTGAGGTAGAGACCTTTCCCAGGGGAAGGAGGGAAGGTGTGCTGGGTGGACAGAAATGACACTTGTCTCCTTTAACTAGAATCCAGACAGATTTGGGTCTGATTTGTGACCCTAGCACTCTTAATTAGCTATGTGACTGTGGGCGTTGGTTTTCTTATCTATAAAATGGGCATAATGATGCCAGGCTGTAGTAAGAATCTAGTGAGATGTGAAATTAAAAGTTTTTGAGCCAGGCTGGTGGAGTGAGGGGCAGCCTGGCTGTCACCTTGGTCCACCCCCACCCCTGGGGCTCTCCTTGCACTTTGACCCTCCTCTCCCCCAGAGGCTGGTACAGTTTTGGTTTGCCACTGGGGGCGCCGGCTTCTGCATCAATCGCAAACTGGCTTTGAAGATGGTCCCGTGGGCCAGGTAAGCAGAGACCCCCGGGCGGGAGGGCCGGGCAGGGGCAGCTGCTGGGTGTGTGTGTGTGGCCTTTGCATCAGGAAGGGTTCGGGAGCAAGCTCAGAAGAAACTGCCCCTTGTTGGTTCTGTGTCACAGAGCCAGACCTGAGGGTTAGTGGTGAGCAGGCTGCCTGCCACCCCTGCTTCAGGGAGCTCACTGTCTAGGGCAACCTGCCACACGCAGGTGAGTTATGTAATCTCCAGAGCCTCAGTCCCCTCATCTGTAAAATGGACCTGATACTAGGACAGCAGTGGTTGATATAGGGTTTGATAAGAAAATGTCTGGGCTGGCCCCTGGGTAGGGCCAGGCAAGCATGAGGACCTGTTTGCACCTCTCTTCTGACCTGCAGTGCCATGGGGGAAGTGCAGACCAAGTGTGGGGGCACTCAGGGGAGAAGGGCCTTCTGGTTGGGGACAGCCTGGAAGGCTTCCTGGAAGAGGTGGCATTTGAGCTGGGAGAGCACTAAACTTGCGTTCCTTGAAGGCCTCAGATGAGGGAGTCCTAGGGGAAGTGTGAGCCCTAGGTAGGGGGTGTGGGGGGCATTGGTGTTCTAAGAGGAAGTGGCAAAGCCCTGGCCTCCCTGCCTAGGCAGGCTGTTATTATTAACAACATCAGTGGTCATTACCTTATTTTAAGGGTGGACTGTGAGCCAGGCCTCGTGTTCACCTAGAGTTTCACGGCACCCAGGGAGGAAGGTGGTGTTAGCCACCGTGTACAGCTGAGGAAACTGAGGCACTGAGAGGTTAAGCAAGTGACTGATCCAGGGTCACTTATGCCCTGGGTTTGGCTTCAAGGCCTTTGTGCTTCACTACTCACCATCCTGCCTGGGGTAACGGGTCTTCAGAAGAGATTTGTACTCGGGGTGGGAGTGGGCATATTTTCCTAGGGCATGTCCACAGCACATATGTGCACACGACCAGGGGTCATTCCTGTGCCTGGGGTGCCCCCATCTGGGCTTCTGCCCACTCTGTGTTACCTTTGCATGAATTAGGAAAAGGAGCCTCCTCTGGGCGGGTGAAGGAGTCCTGGTAGCACAATGGTTGAGCACTCTGCTGCTAACTGAAAGGTCGGAGGTTCGAACCTACCCAGTGGCTCTGCAGGAGAAAAGACCTGGTGTTCTGCTCCTGTAACGATCACAGCCTGGGAAACCCTATGCGGCAGTTCTACTCTGTCCTATAGGGTCGCTAGGAGTAGGAATTGACTCGACCGCACCCAACAACAACTAGGTAGGTATAGTCTTAGAGCACCCAGCCTGCTGAGCGGAGCGAGGGTTGAATTTCTGCTCCCACTCGCCCCCATGGCCAGATGTCTTTGAGGGGGCAGTCTGCCCAACAGTACCAGGCAGCCCTGACTCCAGGGGCATGATGGGGTGTGTGCAGCCCGGAGATTCCCTTGCTGGAACACATCCTCCCTCCCTCTGATACTTGGCCAACTCTAGCTCATCCTATAAGACTCCATTTAAAACTGCCACCTCCTCCAGGAAGCCTGCCCCATCCTCTCTGTACCCCACAGGTCACATGCTTCCCTCTGACTTACACCAGTCCTCTTCTGACATAGCTGCTCATGTATCTGTCTCCCTCCAGAATGGGGTCTTCTGTTGAGGGCAGGTTGCATTTCTTTCTCGTTATGGATTGAATTGCGTCCCTCTAAAATGTGTGTCAACTTGGCTAGGCCATGATTCCCAGTATTGTGTTGTTGTTTACCATTTGTGTTCTGATGTGATTATCCTGTGTGTTGTAAATCCTGACCTCTATGATGTTAATGAGGCAGGATTAGAGGCAATAATGTTAATGATGCGGGACTCAATCTACAGGATTAGGTTGTATCTTGAGTCAATCGCATTTGAGATATAAAAAAGAGAATTGAGCAGAGAGGAGAGGGACCACATTACCACCAAGCAAGAAGAGCCAGGAGCACGTGTCCTTTGGGCACTGTGTCCCTGTGCTGAGAAACTCCTAGACCAGGGAAAGATTGATGGCAAGGGCCTTCCCCGAGAGTGGACAGAGAGAGAAAGCCTTCCCCTGGAGCTGGCACCCTGAATTTGTACTTCTAGCCTCCTAAATTGTGAGAAAATAAATTTCTCTTTGTTAAAGCCATCCACTTGTGGTATTTCTGTTACAGCAGCGCTAGATAACTAAGACATTTCTCATCCCTTCTCTGTATCCTCAGCCCTAGCACAGTATCTGGCACTCCAGTAGATGCTCAACTATGAATGAATGAACAAATGAATGAATGAGTGAAAAGAAAGGGAGAGAAGGAAAGGATACATTTATAAGGGGCTTCACCTCACCATTCTTCCATTTAATCCACAAAACAGCACTGTGAGGGCAGGGCCATTTCACAGATGGTAAAATCGAGGCTCCCAGGGTTCTTGACTTGCCTCAGGTCACACAGTGGGCAGGAGGCAGACATTGGAGCCAGCCTTCTGCTCTGCCAGCTGGCCCTGGGGAGGGCCTTCTGGGAGCAGAGAGGGCTCCGGGTGTCGAGCGCCTGGACTAGTGACCACAGCATCCTCTCTCCCTCAGTGGCCCCCGCTTCGTGGACACGTCCACCCTCATCCGGCTGCCTGATGATTGCACTGTGGGCTACATCATCGAGTGCAAGCTGGGTGGCCGCCTGCAGCCCAGCCCCCTCTTCCACTCCCACCTGGAAACCCTGCAGCTGCTGGGGGCGGCCCAGCTCCCAGAGCAGGTTAGCTGGCCTTGGGGTAGGCAGAGATGGGAGAGGGGCTGTGAGGCAAGGTCCCCTGAAAAGAACATGGGGTCTCTCCTGCCACTCCCTCCTGGTGTTTGAAATCAACCTGGAAATTTAGACTGTGAGGCCTGGGCCATCCCCTAAGGATGGGGAAACAGGCCCAGGGTGACTCAGTCCTCTAACCCAAAAGGTCCCCAGCATTTGCGATGCTAAAATTCTATGATCTGGTCCCCAAATGCCAGCTGGAAGGACCTACACAGACAGATGAAGTTTATTTTCAAGCTCTCATTACCCTGTCCCCCCACTTCCTGCCCCTCCTCCACTTTCCCACCCTCCCCACATCCCTCTTGGCCGGCCCTGCCCCCTAAGGGCCCAGGGCAGCCCTGTCTGGCTTTTCCCATGGGTAGCCTCTCTTTCATCAAAGCTTACCTGTCCACTGCTTGCTGTTTTTCATTTGAACCCCCATGTTACTTGGGAACTCTTCATGAATGGAGACCCTCAGGCATAATGTTAGGTGGGGGAGGAGTGGGGCCCCATCCCACCACCTGGCAGGTGCTTATAGGTAAACCTGGGCCTGCCTTGCAGATGCTGCCATTGGACTCATGAGTTCCAGCCCCAAAGATGGGCCTGACTAGGAGGCCCCTGAGGTCTTCTGCCTAACTGTGTGAGTCAGAACCCTTTTGGTTACAAGTGACAGAAACTCAATATAGACTGCTTAAACAAAAAGGAAGTTGATGTGCTCACATAATAGAGCAGCTGAGGGCTTGGCTTCCTAGCTTGGCTGGGTCTAGTTGCTCAGGCATCATCCTGGGACTGTGTCTTCTCTTTTGTGAGGTCTCCTCCATGGTGACCTCGTCCCCAGCAGGTCACCCCTCGTCCTGGCAAGATGGCGGCCCCAGATTTCCACCCCATTTCTGGGAAGAGAGTCTTCCTTCCCTAGATCCCAGTGGCGCTCATTGGTCTGATGGCCCAGCTTGGGTCATATGACCTGCCCTCTACAAACTGGAATCAGTGTTGATCAGCCAGGCCTGGAACTGGGGTGCAGCTTCGTCCCATTAGGACCACAGAGCCTGAGAGAGAGGCTTGAGCCAGGAATGGGGCAGAAGCTGGGAAGCCAAAATCAGGACACCCTAACAGTTAGAGCTTCTGAGACCCACCATGCTAGGCACCTTGTTGGGGCCTGACCCCCTCCAGCTCTCTGGTTCCTTGCAACGTCTTGTGAGGTTGCTGCTAACTTTATCCCCATTTTACAAATGAGGAAACTGAGGCCCAGGGAGCTGAACTAACCATGGTACACAGCTAATACAGGGCAGAAGAGGATTTGAACCCTGGCTGGGAGGCCTCTAAGCCCCAAGTCTTTAACCACTTTGCTGTACTCGAGGTCGTTATCCCACCCTCATTGCCGAGCAGAGGAGCCTGAAGCTCGGGGTAGAGAGGGATTTGCCAAGGCCCTCAGTGAGTTGCAGAAAACCTCAGTTCTAGTCCAGGTACATAACTTACTCGAAAGGTGACTTCACCTCTTTGAGCCTCAGTTTCCTAATCCATAGGATGAGGGCGGAGCCCTGGTGGCACAGTGGTTAAGAGCTCGGCTGCTAACCAAAAGGTCAGCAGTTTGAATCCACCAGCTGCTCCTTGGAAACCCTATGGGGCAGTTGTACTCTGTCCTGTAGGGTCACTATGAGTTGGAATCAACTCGACGGCAACGAGTTTGGCTTTTTTGGTTTAGGAGGAGGGTGTTGTCCCAGCCTCCCAGGTAAGCTGAACTGCTGGGGAAACAAATGGGATTAGGGGCATGAAAGTGCTCCACAAGCTGTACAGCACCTGTGGGTGTACTTTTAGTGAAGGCTGTCTTGCTAGTGGTGGAATTTCAGGCACAGAAGCAGGCTGGAGGAGAGGGCAGCTTTCTGTGCCTCTCAGAATGTCTTCTGTGCTTCTCTGCCTGTGCCAAATGCTGCCCCCTAATGGGCAGTGGGGATCCTCTGGCTAGTGGAGATCTCCATGGGACAGCCCCCCAACACTCACCCTCTTCTTGCTTTTTCTTTGTTCAGGTCACCCTCAGCTATGGTGTCTTTGAGGGAAAACTCAACGTCATTAAGCTGCAGGGCCCCTTTTCTCCTGAGGAGGACCCCTCCAGGTGGGTCTGGGGGCTGAATCTCTGGGATAGGAGCAGTGGGGGCTAAGTCCAGGCACCCAAAGATGGGTGAGATGGGTGGAGGAAGCGCAGAGCCGGGGGTGGTGAGAGTGGATCTCAGTTCCTCTCTGCCACTGGCTTGCTGTGTGACCGTGGGCAATCCCTTGATTGCCTCAGTTTCCCCATTTGTAACACAAGGAGGCTGGGCATCATGGATCTGAGGGACTCTCCCATCCCTGATCCTCTGGATTCTTCAGGAGCTGCCGGAAGACTGAAACGTCGTCACTGATGCTCTAGTGGTGGAGCTTCAGACACTGCTGGGAATTTTTATTTTCTCTTTCAGTCTCTGTTTTTTGGTACTCATCGACAGTTCTCGGTGGGTAGGGGTTGGAATGGGGGCTAAATGTTACCCAGCCACCTTCCAGTTCTGGCCCAAATCAGGCCACAAGAAGATTGGGGGCTGCTCATCTCAGCTAGTATAGAGAAGTCTTAGAACATAGCCTGTGACCCCCAGTTTCCTCTCCTCATCACCCCACTGCTGGCCGACTGTGGCTTGTGCTTCTTGTGGGGGTGGGGGTGGTGGGGTGTGGAGGACTGGAGGGGGACCACATGGATTCTGGGCTCAACAGTCCAACTCTGGAACTGATGCTTGATACCTTCTCAGCATCTCTGCCAAGCAATGGGCTGCCTTCAGCTTGCATGCCTCCAACCATGGGGAGCTCCTCCGTCCATGGCACTGTTCCATCTCTGGGTGACCTGATTGTCCTGTGATCCCTCTACCCCCATTCCTGTCCCTGCCAGTGAGGGCCTGGGAGCTAGGACAGGGGCCCTGATCCTGCCATTGGAGGCAGAAAGGCAGTGGTGGGGGAGGGGAGGGAGGGAGCTTGGGCCTACTTGAGAGACAGAGATTTGTCCAGAGCAAGTGACGGGGGACGAGGGACTTAATACATTGTCATGATAGAGGGAGAGCAGCAAAGAATATATAGATATAGATGATATAGATAGAGGTACAGACACGTGCCATGAAGGGGAAGTGTAGGCCATTATGGGAAGGTATAAGAATGAGCCCTGATATAGACTGGGGATGGAAGCTGGTCAAGGGGTCGTCTCAGAGATGACAGGTGGGCTGAGACCTGAAGGAGGAGCAGGAGTTAACCAGAAGAGGCAGGTGGTAGAGAGCTCCAGGCAGAGGAATAGCCTATGCAAAGGCCTTATGGCAGGAGGCAACAAGGCCCGCTCAAGGCAGTAAAGGAAGCCAGTGTGACCAGAATGCAGAGAAAGCGGGGGAGAGTGGCATCAGGTTTGGTTGGGGAGGTGGCAAGTGACCTCCACAAGATCTTGTAGGCTTTGTCTGGACTTTGGATTTATTCTGAAGTGTGTAACCCCCCAGGGGGACCAGGACCCTGCTTCTGAAGCTCTGTGGAGTTGTCTGTCCTGGGGTAGAGGGTTCACAACTCTTTTCAGGGCCCCAGGGGCCAGGGATGAATTGAACAAGTTGGACATTATAAGGAGTCAGAGTTCCGTTCAATATAAGAAAAAAAGTTCCAAAATTCCAAAATAAAAGGAGCCGCCTTTTAATGGGGTGAGCGCCCCGTCAGTGGAGGTGTGCAAGCCATGGCTGTACCGCCAAGAAGTTTAGGAAGTAATGTTAAATTCCTTCCAAGCCTGAAGATTCTAGAATCCATAAGTTCCTGCCTAATGGGACTGGAGACTCAGATACGTGTGGTCAAGTGGTCTGGCCTCAGCTGAGTTCTCTTCATGGCTTGTATGGAGACATTTTTGATTGTCACAATGGGAAGGATGGGGGCGGGGTGCCACTGGTATCTAGTAGATAGAGGCCAAAGATGCATCCTACAATGCATAGGACATCCCTCACAACAAAGAATTATTCAGCCCAAAATGTCAATAGTGCTGAGATGGAGAAACCCTGCTCTAAACCATCTCTGTGACATGCTCCCTTCTCGGAGCCTTCGGGGCATGGGTAGGAGTGGGGTGACCATCTTGTTCATTTCTGGTCTCTCCACAGGTTTCGCTCCCTCCATTGTCTCCTCTTCCCAGATACACCCTGGTGTCCACAGCTGGTGGCTCGATGAACTCTGACTTGCTGGGCAAATGTTGTCCTTCTGCCTCCCAAGGCAGCCCTGGGGGCCCCTGGCAGGTGCACTGTGTTGGCTGTCACTGACAGTCTCCAGGTGGTGGGCAGGCCCAGGATTTGAATGGTGGCTGGTATTAGAGGCATCCCAGGCTTCTGGGAAGTGCGTTGGGCAGCCCAGGGACAGGGTGGTCCACGTGAGGGCCATAGAGGCCCCAGGGGCTGGGGTCCCACCAGCCATGAGCAGCTGAACTGGACAAAGGTGGGGAGGATGTTTGAGCTGGGATGAGGCCCAGGGGTCCTTAACCCCTCAGAGAATGCCATGAGTCGCTAGGTGGGGCCTGGCACCAACCCTAGGCTCTGTTCTCTCAGGCATTCCCCTGGGGTTCAAACCTTGGGCCGCCTAGCCCTGGGTGCCCTGGCAGAATCTCCAACCACTGAGGGAACGTGGGTGGAATATAAGTAAAATCCAGGATCTGCAGCAAGTACTATTGTTCCTACTCCCTGTCTACCGCCCCCATCCCTGGCTAACAGAACCCAATTTTGTTGGAAGCCTCAAAATGCCCAGGCCCAGATGATGGACCATAATGAGTCCCAGCCAATCATGACGATTCTTTTGCTCACTATCCGTTGCTGTTAAGGGCTACCATGTGACCCAGCTCTGGCCAGTATGAACTAAGCAAAGTCAATAGAGAGGCTTCTGGGAAAGCTTCTGCCGCTCCATACCCCATCTTACTGATTTGAATGTGGATACAATGGCTGGATCTGATGCAGTCACTTTGCCACCATGAAGGAAAAGCCAAGATAATCATCCACAGCTGTCCCCTCTAGCTTCTGATTCTGTAAGAAAATTAAACTTTTATTTGTTTAAGCCTCTTCTTGGTCAGGTTTTCTGTTACAGGCAGCCAAAATGTTCCTGACTGGGTCAGGGTCTTTGATCTGTCTGTCATAGTGGCTCTTTCTTGGAAGGGAGTGTGAGACACTGTTGGTGGTGTTGATGCAGGCTCCGAAGCTAGACTACCCTGCTGTACCCTCTCTGGCTGTGTGATCCTGGACAGGCCACTTGATCTCTCTGCTCTGTTTTCCCATTTTACAGATGAGAAAAAAAATATTTACCTCCTGGGTTGCTATGTGGATAAAATGATACAGTGTTTGTAAAGAGCACAGCACAGAGCCTGGTGAGGAGAAAGGAAGGGCTCAGTGAACGGTGGCTGTGATTTGTGTGTGTGTGTGTGTGTGTGTGTTGTGGCATGTCAGGGTGTGTGAGAGTGTACATGGATGTGTGGGTGGTGCGTACCCTTTTCCACATGTATGTGCATAAGGACATGTGTGCAGCAAATGTATGCTTTTGTGCCCAAGTGTCACACATGGGCATGATGTTAGTATATGTGTGCCATGAGGTGTTGGTGTGCTGGAAGTCATTCCTCCTTTTCTCTGACCACAGGGCCTGGGCTGGGGGGCTCAGAGAATCAGGGGAGGCAGAGTAGAGACTCGGAGCTGAGGGACTCAGCCTCAGGCATAGATAAAGGAGCAATTTGATGGCCAAAGTAGGTGCTCAATACCACAGGTGCCCTGAGAGTGCTGGGGCCCACAGAGATTGGGTGAGTGAATAAAAGTGACTGTAGTGAAATTTCAGGCATGGTGGTACGTAAGTGGGGGAAGGTCAGAGATGGGAGGTCTTTTTTCCCCATCGTGCCCAGTCATGTTGGGATTTGGGGGTCACAGTAGGGCTCTGGGGTGGGGGAGGTGAGAGGCGAGATCCTAAGCCAAGGCAGGGAGGGGTGGTCTGACCAAGCAGCTCAGAATGGTCACCTAGGCTCCTTTAGACCAGAAGCCTTGTCCAAACAAGGACCCACTGAGCACCAGAGCTTTAGGCCTTGTTTTCCGGGGAGAAGCCTGAAGCCCAGAGAGGGACAGCCGTGTGCTGTGGTCATGCAGCGAGCTGGGTGTCGAGCAGGGCTGTTTGGACTCTTCCAGAGCCTCCATTCCTTCTGGGCTGACTTGAAGCTGGGCTTGTGGGATGCAAGCCGGGTGGGGGCGGTCTGGCCCACAGCCTGGTGGGGGAGGGAGTGGCGCTTCATGGCCACCGTCCTCCCCACCCGCGTGTGGAAGGTCTGCTTTTAGGAGGAGCAGCAAATTTTCGGGTTGTTCTCAGATCCTGAGGGTCGGTGGAGGGAACAGGACTGGGCCATCTGCTGCCTCCATTGTCCCAGAATAGCTGGGGGTGGGGGCAGAGTCAGCAGGATCAGAATTAGGAAGGAGGAAGTGGAGGGTGGGGGCTGAGGTTTAACCCTTTGTGTGTTTGCATGGGAGGCTATGAAGCTGCCTGTGCCCTGTGCTGAGGGGACCCCACCTGGGCCCCAGAGCCAGGGGTTGGGGAAGGGAAGGGGCAAGATGGGTCAGCCCTGTCTTGGCCTTGCTGTGCCTTTGGGTAAGTAGCTACCCTCAGTTCCTTACCTTTAGCTGGGCCAGTGAGCCCTGCCAGCCCATCCCAGGGTGCTGTGGCTGTGACAAACAGAGGGCTGTGTGGGTGGCCACAGGTCCCCGGATGGCACAAGCAGTTAGTGATCGGCTGCTGACCTAAAGGTTGGCGGTTCGAATCCACCCAACAGTGCCATGGATGAAAGGCCCTCCGTGAAGATTATACCCAAGAAGACGCTAAGGAGCGCACTTCTACTCTGTAAAACATGGGGTTGCTGTGAGCTGGAATTGACTTGATGGAAATGGGTTTGGTTTTGGTTTTGGTGTGGATAGCCACTGACCCTTGAGCTGGGCAGCTGAGAGCGGGCCCCTGTGCTAAGGCGGGGGGCAGGGCATGGCTGAGGAGTGGGAGCCCTGGCCTGGGACAGGCATTGGAAGGAGCTTGGAGATATTCCACAGGGGTCTCTGCCCCTCCATCTATTCCCCACCCCAGCAAAGAGTGAGCAGGTCATCAGGGTGAACCTCCTTTGCCCTAACCCATGGCAGCTCCATTCTTTCTACCCAGCAACACATTAATTGATGCATCGGCACCTGCTGTGAGTGAGCCAGGTCTTGCAGAGTCAACGAGTAAGATGGCGCCACACTGGGGGGCGGGAGGCGAAGCTTCTCAGCGTCGCCCTCCTGTAGATATATGTCAATACAAATAGAAACATAAGTATATGTTATTAAGCCCATACTGGGTGTCTGGTACTGTTCTAAGCACTATACACAAATTAGCTCACTTAATCCTCACCCATTTGAGGTAGGTACTATTATGACTCCCATTTTACAGATTAGGCAACTGAGGCACAGAGGGGAAGTAGTACCTTTGCTCCAGGTTGTGGGGCTCTTATGTGCCAGCGCCCAGGTTATGGCTCTACAGTGGTCATCTCAGCGTGGGATGACTTTGGAGGGTTGGAGAGGCCACAAGGCCTGGGCTCCGCTCTTCCCTACTCTGGCTCTGTGCCCTTGGGCAGGTGACTTCACTGATCACTGGTCTCATCTGTCAAATGGACACACTGACTCCCAGGTAGAAGCTGTGAGGCTTTGCGATGCTGCCCAGAAGCTCCTGGTGTAGGGTAGTTGTGCATTAAGGAATACGCCCTCCTCTCTCTGACCTCAGTGTTCTCAGCTTTAAAAGGGGTTGGAAGAGGTGCTGGATTTGCTGTCACCGCCACTCCACTACCCAAGTCCGAGCTGCTTTCAGCCTTGCCTGGATTATGGCAGGAGCCTCCTCAGCGGCCCCTCGCCCTCCCCTCAGCCCCTCACCCGCTCTTCAACCTTGTTCACTGGCTCTGGGCACGCTGGCCTCCTCATTCTCCAACTGCACCAGCTCTTTGCTCTCCTTGCAGTGCAGCCCCCTTCCTACATGGTTGATGTCTCAGTTCCCTAGTGCTGCTGTAACAGAAATACCACAAGGGGGTGGCTTTCAAGAACAAAAATTTTTTTTGCACAGTTCTGGAGGCTAAAAATCCAAAGTAGGGTCTTGGCCGTGTTGATTCCTTCCTTGGTAGTCAGGGGTGTTCCTTGGCTTGTAGACGATTCTCACATGGGGCCTGTCATTGCCATAGTGTGTGTGTGTGTCTCTGTGTCTAATCTGCTGTTTTTATAATTCAGAAGTGATTAGATTTAGAACCCACCCTACACTAGGACATGATCTAATTAACACAACAAGCTGGCTGTATCAGAATCACAGGTGCTTAGAGTTCCTGGTAAAATCATATTCCAGGGCTCCACTTTTCACCCTCAGAATCCAAGTCTCCAAAGAAAGGGCCATGGAGTCTGTATTTTTACCTGCATACCTAAAAAAAAACCTGTTGCCGTCGAGTAGATTCTGATTCACAGCACTCCCTAAACCAAAAAACCCGTTGCTGTTGAGTCTGACCCATAGGGACGCTGGAGGACAGAGTAGAAGTGCTCCATAAGAGCAGCTGGTGGATTTGGACTGCCAACCTATTGGTTAGCAGCCATATCACTTAACCACTGCACTGCCAGGGCTCCTAGTGCTCTCTAGTAGGTTCTAAATTGCTGCTGGGTTAGAGAATGAGGTAGGGATGAGGAAAAGTGGGTTTCAGCACCATGGACAGAGCCCACAGAGCCATCATCTACTCTCCTTCCTGGGACTGGCTGGGGCCAGGTGTATGTGTATACAGGGAGGGGTTCATAGCTCAATCCCGATGGGGGCCAGTTGTCACCTGTGGTCTTGGCCTGTGTACACAGCCCTCATCTGTGTTTCAGAGTGGGTGCTGGGTCTGCTGCTGGAGACAGCAGGGGCCATATCATAAGTATTCCCTCTATTGCTTTTATAAGTTATAAAATACCCCATACTGTGCAAGCAGCAAAGCATGAAGCCTGAGCCAAAGTGAACAAATTAATCCCTCAAACATGGTTTGAGCACCTACTGTGTTCAAGGGCTGTGATGGTGGCCAAAGGGTATGTAGGGATGAATGAGATACAGCTGCTGCCCCAAGGAACCCACAGCTTATCCAAACAGGTTCATTGATTGCTAGAAAGGAGAGGGACGAGACCCTAGAAGATAACCAGACCCCGAGTCAGCAAGTGTGCCTGTTGGAAAGGCAGTCGGAGAATGGAGAGAATAGGTGTTAGCGGCTGAGCCTTTCTGGGTTTGAGACCGTGGCCGGCCCTGATTACCTGTGTGGTTTTGTGCATGCTACTTAGCTTGCAGAGCCTTGGTTTCCTCATCTGAGAAATAGGAGTGCCTACTTCTCCCCTCACAGGGCATGTGTGAGGAAAGCGTCCACTCAGCCCAATGCCCAGCATGCGTCTGAGCGCCATTCATTCACTTGTAGACTACACAAGCATTTACCAAAAGTCCCCTACCTACCCAGCTGGTCCCAAATGCTGTGAAGAAGACAGATAAGGGCTGGCAGTGGGGAGCTTGCATTTCAGTGGAGTGTAGGGCAGAGATGGCGCTTCCTCTCTTCTTCCTGAGCTCCCAGACACCCTGTGAGGGCGGCCACGTGGCCAAGTTCTAGCCAATGGATGTGCCTCGCTTGCAGGTCTGGCCCACGGACCCTCCCACACACGATGACCTCTCTGTTCTCATCCCTGGCTGAGTGGACAGGACTTTGAGAACAAGAGGTGAGAAGAACCTGCAGATGGGAGGAGTTAGGTCCCAGAATCTCCATGTGGACGTCTGTTCAGCTGCACTGAACTGTTACAAGAACAAGAAATGAACTTGTGTTGGGTTGTGTCCCCTGGGTATTGGAGGGTTTGTTACAGCACTTAGCCTACCCTGAGTGATACCAGGAGATGACAATGGACAGGTAACCAAAAAGCAAGAGTTCCAGAGAGTGATGGGGCAATGAAGGAAACAGACTGACACAGTGGGGAATCTTGGGGGAAGATAGATTATGGATTTGTTTTGAAATTCTTCTTGCTTTTGGCACAACAGTTAAGCCCTTGACTGCTAATCAAAAGGCAATGGCAGTTTGAATCCCCCCAGCGGCTCTGTGGGAGAAATGACCTGGAGATCTGCTCCGGTAAAGATTACAGCTCAGAAAACCCTACACTGTCATATGGGGTCACTATGAATCACAATCGACTCAATGACACCCAGCAACAACGTACACGATTCTGCATTTTACTTTTTTCCACTTCACATGCTTCAGAGGTTGTTTTATATCATTATAGAAAGAGCTTCCTCCTTCTTTTTTTACAGCCACATAGTATGCCAATGAGTAGTTGTACAGTTTTTATTAACCAGTCCTATACTGATGGATATTCAGGTTGTTTCCAACCATGTGGTATTCAAACAATGCTGTAACAAATTGCCTGTACACATGGTACTGCGCACATGTCTGAGGATATTGGAGGATAAATTCCTAGCAGTGAGGCTGGCAGATTAAAGAGAAGGTATATTTATCATTTAAGTAGATACAGTCCCATTGCCCTTGAGACTGGCTGTGCCAAGCTCTATTCCCATTAGCCGTGTAGAGTAAGGAAGGCACAGCTTTAAAAGAGACACATGTGTTTTCGGCATTGTGCCAAAGATTTCCTCTTCCTTGGGGATGCTCATCTGACAATGCCCAACACTGATTAAAGCATTGGCAGAACACTGGACTCTGTTAAGGGATTTGCAACTTAATTGCATTTGTTCATAAAACAATTAATATTGAATAACTCGACATCAACAGAACTAATTCTGACCCTGTGCTATGACAAACCTATTGATGCTTTATGTTTAAAAATTCTATTCAAAGCTAAAAAAA